ATAGCCGGAATGTGTATCTTGGATTATGCACTGATGGATTTAGTCCATTTGGAATGTCTGGGAGACAATATTCATTGTGGCCGGTCTTTCTTACACCGTATAACTTGCCACCGGAGATGTGCATGCGACGAGAGTTTCTATTCATGAGCATATTAATACCTGGTCCAAAACATCCAAAAAGATCTCTCGATGTTTTTCTTCAACCATTGATAAAAGAGTTGCAAGATTTGTGGTCAACAGGGGTGAGGACATATGATTGTTCAACGAAAACAAACTTTACGATGCGAGCGATGCTTTTGTGGACCATAAGTGATTTTCCTGCATATGGTATGTTGTCTGGGTGGACTACACATGGGAGATTAGCTTGTCCGTATTGTCATGGAATGACAGATGCGTTTCAGTTGAAGCATGGTAGGAAGACTAGTTGGTTCGATTGTCACCATCGATTTCTTCTCATTCACCACCCATACCGAAGAAACAAGAAATTGTTCAGGCACAAAAGGGTTGTCAGAGACACTCCTCCTCCATATTTAACTGGAGAACAAATCGAAGCACAAATCAATTATTACTGTGCTCTGGAAACAGCTCCTCGTGGTGGGAATTGGCATGTTCCCAATAATATGCATGATTCTTATGGTGTTCAGCACAATTGGCACAAAAAGAGTATATTTTGGGAATTGCCATATTGGAAAGATCTTCTTTTCCGCCACAACCTCGATGTGATGCATATAGAGAAGAACTTTTTTGAGAACATCATAAACACTATATTGAATGTCCCAGAGAAGACGAAAGACAACGTAAAATCAAGTTTGGACTTACCTGATATCTGCTCAAGGAGTGACCTACATATAAAAAGCAATGGGCAAGTTCCAGTTCCAATATTCAGACTGTCATCAGAAAAAAATTCTGCGTTGTTCAACTGGGTGGCTTCAGAAGTGAAGTTCCCTGATGGGTATGTTTCAAATCTCTCAAGATGAGTTGAGAAAGGGCAAAAGTTCTCCGGGATGAAGAGCCATGATTGTCATGTCTTTATGCAGCGACTGCGGAGCTACTGCGTTTGCGGAGCTACTGCCGGCAAAAGTACATGAAGCACTTTCAGAAAATTAATTAATATAATACGATGACATGATTAATTTATATATATATATATATATATATATATACTAATGTGGATAATTTTTGTTTTCGTATATATATAAGGAATTGAAGCATTTTTTAGGGATCTGAGCACCCGCACTCTTAAAGTGGAAGTTGTCCAACAAATTCATGAAAACATCCCCGTCTTAATCTGCAACTTGGAGAAAATATTCCCGCCAACTTTTTTCGACGTCATGGAACACCTAGTTGTCCACCTCCCGTATGAGGCATTACTTCGTGGACCCGTGCTTTATGGATGGATGTATCAGTATGAAAGGGCCATGAAAACTTTGAAAGGAAAAGCCAAAAACCTAGCAAGAGTTGAAGGTTCTATTGTTGCGGGAAGTTTGACGGAAGAAACATCACATTTCTCTTCGTACTACTTTGCACCGAAAGTACGTACAAGGAAACGAGCTCCAAGAAGATATGATGATGGTGGTGTCGTGCCGACATATATGGAAGACGATGTTCCAGACATCTTTTGTCAAATTGGGCGATTGGGTGGGAAATTGAGAGAGGTTTGGTGGTCCAGTGATGAAGACGTCCATAGTGCACACCTTTATATTCTTCTTAATTGCGAGCATCCATTGATTGCTTATTTTGAAAGGTAAATATATAAACATACACACTTATATATATATTTCAATATTAAATATATAACATAACATATATGAGTTTACAGTCAATTTGAGACTCAAGTCGAGGAAGCAATACCTGGTATATCGACAACTGAGTTAGACAAAAGGAAAGATCAACACTTTATCAAGTGGTTGAGGAAACATGTATTTATTTATTACTTAAATTGTATGCATACATTACCACAAAGTAAGTCTAATGTATTTTATTTTTTATTGCAGGTTGATTATGACGATCCTAAGTATCTCGCATGGTTTTGCGAATTACTTCAAGGTCCAGTTGCAAAGGTCACTACATCGTTGATGTATTTCACTCGAGGCTATACTTTTCATACCTACGACTATGGTAGACACCGGGCGACAAGTAATTATTGAATATGTGTGAAAGGCGAAACAGATTTCTACGGGATCTTGCAGGAGATTTATGATGTTCAATTCCCGGGTATGGGTTTGAAATGCGTTATCTTCAAGTGTGAGTGGTACGACCCCGTCGTAAATAGAGGTGTTCGGATTAACAAGAACGGTGTAGCTAATGTCAACGGTGGACGAAGGTACACCAAATTCTTTTTTTTTAATATCCAGGTTTCCAATATTAATTAATTTTTACGTATTGATATTTATTTTCGTAGGTACAACAAGTTTGAGCCTTTCATATTAGCTTCCCAAGCAGATCAAGTTTGCTTCATTCCATACCCTCGGATTACTACCTCGGGAATAAACTGGTTAGCTGTTATCAAAGTTACACCTCGAGGAAGAATAAACGCTGGAGAAGAACCACCATTACAAGAAGAAAACACCAATGAGATCGAGGAAGCTGGAGCAGAAATTGATGAGTTCCTACTCATTGATCCGCATAATCGTCAATACGAAGATGTTCCTGATCACTCAATGGACGAAGGTGTAGACGACGAGTTTTTAGAAAATGATGATGTTTCAACAGATTACGACAATGTATCCGAATGAATTATGTATGTTTATAAGTTTGTTTAATCACAAAATCAATTTGGATTATATATGTTTTAAGTTTGTTTAATCACAAAATCAATTTGCATTTGGGGTTTGGGGTTTATGTGTAGAAGAGGTTAGGAGTTTGGTTATAGAAGAGGTTATAAGTTAAGGAAGTTGTGGTGTGGGGTTTGGGATTTCGAGTTTAGGGATTTATAAAACCTTTCCTCGTAAAGCCCTAGTAATAGAAAACACGGGCATAGCAATTTCCTCGTAATGTTCAAGTAAGGCCTTACTAGGGCTTTACGAGGAAAAAACGCGGGCATAGCTATTTCCTCTTAAAGGCTTTTCCTCGTAAAGCCCTCGTACAGCCATTACGAGGACCTTACGAGGAAATAAAAATACGGGCATAGCTATTTCCTCGTAAGGTCCTAGTAACATTACTAGGGCTTTACGAGGAAACAAAAATCCTTATATATACTCGAGCAATCCGGTTTCTCATTTGCTAGTAACCTTCTCTTTAAATCCTCTAAAGGTTCTCTCTAATCCGTAGTTAGGTGATTAGATTAGGGAATTTAGATTAGGTGTTTAGTTTAGGGAATTTAGATTAGGTGGTTAGTTTAGGTAATTTAGATTAGGTGGTTAGTTTAGGTAATTTAGATTAGGTTGGTTTACTTTTAGTTACTGTTTTTTTAAATTATACGGGAATTAATGTTTTGATTTTTTTTTTTTAAATATAGATGCCTAGACAGAGCAAGCTTGCTAAGGCTGCTGCTAAGAGGACGTCGTCTATCGAGGGGATAAGCTAAACTATGCTCCGGGTTCATCTTCGTCAGCTCCCGATTCATCTTCGATTCCCGAGACTCAGAAAGCTTCTACGGCGTCCCGACAACCTCCTCCTCCTCCTCCTCCTCCTCCTCCTCCTCCTCCTCCTCCTAAGTATAGGCGCCTTACCATTACAGATCTAAAATTAAACGCTATCGTAAATATCGTAAATGTTAAATATATCAAATTTTAATAAAAATACTTTTTTTGAACAACAATAAAAAAACTCTAAGTTAACCTTTGGGCTTGATACACACAAAAAAAAGAGTCAATTCTCTCCCCCTGTCACTTTACGAGAAATCGAACAAGCACCATTCAACGACGTCATCTCCTCCATAACCGGAGGAGGCTTTCTGAGGAGAGGAAGAAAGGTCATCGTCGGCTTATGATTAGAACTCCTTCTCGTTTAATTTCAAGCTTGGAAGCTGCTTCTTCTTCGCCTCTCTCTCTTTCTTCACCTTCTTCGTTCACCAAGGTTCAAAATCATTCCCTTTTCCCTAATTTCATCCATTTGGATTTAAAGTCGAGATTTTGTTAATGTTTCTGGCTTGATTGGGTTGAATATTGGTTCAATTGAATTTAAAGTCGAGAGTTTGTAAAGGTTTGTCGCTTGATTGGTTCAATTGGATTTTAGGGTTTGATTTTTTTTGAATCCAGGATGGGAGGAGGATTAGTGTTAGGGACTGTGCTTTGTTTAAGCCACCTCAGGATTGCCCACCATTTATTGGTTTGATCCGTTTGCTCCTTCTTGAGAAAGAAGGCAACAACTTTAAGCTTCGTGTGAATTGGCTTTATAGACCCTCGGAGTTGAATTGAAAAAAACGTCCAAGAGAACGAAGAAGGAAGTGATTCTATCGCGATAGAGAATGAGAAAAGTTTGAGACTTTGTTTGCGACTTTGGGAGATGGAGATTCCAAGCTCTGATGAGATACTTGAGTGTATGAGCTCTTGTCTCTCTCAAATCAAATGGCGACTCAAGCTCTCTTCAAAACGCCGCCTCGAAATAGGTTTCCATCTTTCATTCTCACAGATTTTGTATCAGATAATGAAGCTTGAGGATGCTTTTGTTTGAGATTCATTTTTTGCTTGGTGGGTTTATCAAGTTACATTATTTGTTAGGGATAAATCATTAAAAGTTTTGAACTTTAGCATCATCATCGTCATCATCATCACTAGACTCTAGTATATTATCTCTGTAAGAGATGCTTAAAACGGGTTTTACTGGAGCAGATGTGCTGGCACTCTGCACGGGAATGAGACCAGTTGTGATGATTGACTATGGTGGCAAGTTTCCTGAGCTACAAGATCGCCTGCTTTCTCTTCTTGAGCTTCTCCATGAGGTTGGTTTCTACTTCCTTCTTCAGTCACATTACTACTTGAGTATGTCTCTTAGGTGATATTGTTCATGCTTGTGTCCTCTAGGCTTTACCGATTTTCAAATCTTTGAGGGTTATGGTTATAGAGGATATGATTTACCTGATCAATGTAACAAGACTTGCCAAGTGGTTGAGTTCAGAAACTGAATTGTTCTTTGTCGACCTGGAACAAGATCCTCCACAGGTTTCTCTTTGTTTCAGTGGTTTCTCTTTTCATGCTCCATCTCTTTAATTGGACTGAACTCACTCTTGCTGTTTTTTGTTCAAGATGGTAGAACAAAGCAAAAATGCAGTCTAGGGATGGAACTTAAGTTGACTCAGAAGCTATTCTCCTCGACTTTTCCTTTAGATGGCGGCAATAATGATACCAAAATAGCTTTAGATAAAGCCAAGTCTTCTCAGTCTTCTTTATTCATTGATCTTAGTTGTTGTTTACAAGACACTAAGGTTACAATCCCTACATTAAACGGGTAATTTTCATATCCAACTCTTCACTCATCCATCATATAATATCAAGCNTCAGATCTTTGTCCATGTTCTCAGTTGGAGCTGTGACACTTGCAGGCTCTTATTTAAGCTCAGATGTGCTACTTCTTGGCTCTTATTTATGAGTCAAGATTCAAGAAGTAGCAGATGTCATTTATTCTCATAGCTTCTCTTTGCCATGAACCTCGCATGTCAAGCTGTCTCTCTCTCTCTCTGGTTTGTTTTGTTTTTTGGTACATGAAGTGTTGTCGTGAGAAGAGTTGGTGGTCGTGAGCTTAAACACAGAGGAGTCATGGCATTGTGGTAGTGGTGCCTTGTCGTGTAACGTCTGGTGCCTTGTAGTGCAACGTCTTTTTCTCGATTCTTTATCCACCAAGTCATCATCTCCTTTTGTCTTTGTGTTCAAAACAATATGTATTGACTTTGTATGTTATAAAACTCATCGTTGAGTTTGTTAGTTGTCTTTTGTTCCAAACTCTGTTTTTAAACACTTAAAACTATTGTTCAGATAAATTATAAATAAAAGCATAATTCTATACCCTAAACTCTATTTCATAAACCATAATTCCAATTCACATACCCCAAACATTAATAAATTTAAAATTTAAATCTAAAGTTAAATTCGTAAACTTTATTGATGTTAGTGTAGGATTATATGTAAAATGTATGTTTTATGAATTTAATGCAATGTTTATTTTGGTTATACTAATAACAAGTTATAAAAGAAAACCCAACACTAATGAAACTAGAAAAAACAAAATTTACCTTATGTTCTAAACCCTAAACATGCCCTAAACCCCAACTACATATCTTAAACCCTATAATTTCAAACCCTATATCTTAAATTCCATTTTATACATAAATCTTCAATTTTAAACATTTTAATCCAAACACTCAAATATCATACAGAAATATTCAAATTTAAACATTATAATACAAACCCTATATATACTTCTAACCCTACTTATAGCTCCAAACCTTATATCATATTGCAAACTCTATATAAGAAATATTAAATCATAACATTTTAAATTTATAACACTTATTTTATACTAAATTATGAAATTATATAAACTATAAAATTTAAATAAATGAGTATATTCATAATATAAATTCAATTCCTAAACTCCTACCAAATACTTCATATTGATTTATATCATAAAACATTAAATCTGAATTTTAATATTTTAGTCAATCACAAAATTTTAAAATTTAAATACAAAATACATATTAAAACTTTTAAATTATGATATCAAATTGTTTAAAGTTTAAAGAATTTTATAACAATTATAAAGAAAAAAGAAGATAATATGTACTGTTTTTTCAGAGCCATTGATTGATTTTTAAATCAAAGATCCACAATCAATCCCTATCTATCTCCGCCTTTGTTTTCTATTGGTTGGACTCGGATCACCTTCGGCACCGTTAGATCATACTGAATCAACGCTTCAGATTTGTTACTTTCTTTTTCAATTATTTCTCAGCGTTCCAGAGAGAGGTAAAAAAATGAGAGAGACAGAGAGAGAGAGAGAAAGGCGACTGGGGGTATGCTGTGCTCGAAACCCTAGCAAAGCTCCGCCTCCTTGTCTTCTTCTTCCTCGTCGGCCACCTTCTCTTCTTCTTCCTCGTCGGCCTCCTTCTCTTATTCTTTCTCTAAACTCTCTGGTTCTCGAAATCTGATAGATTAAGGTTCTCTGATTTTTGTTGTTGTGTTTAAT